ACCCACCCCCCAAACCAAAATTTTATTGCGGATTCGGGGTCCTCTCGCCGAGCGCAGAACGACCCCGTTTTCAAAAAAATAAAATAAAAAATTCTGGGCGGTTTTTTGGCCCGCCCAGTTTACCCGGGCGGCTCCCCCGGGCCCAACCGGCCGGGCGGCGTCCTCACCCAGTCTATAACTATAATAAAAATATAAACTTCCCTTTCTTCCCACAGCCTATCCCTCAATCCCTTCTCTCATGATCCTCATTCCGTCTTCGCAATAATTGCTTGTCAATGCAATCAACTGAAAAGATCAATTCACTGGGAATTGAACCTGTGACCTGCCAGCAAGCAAGTGGACAACTTGACCACGAGGCAAAGTGGGAAGGTTCGAACGTGAAGCCCCATGTGGGACACCTCACACCAGTGCGGCATGACCCAGTGTATCCAGACTTGACATAACCCTTCAAACGCCGAACTAGCCAGGAGCACGATGCATACTTCTACAAAGGACTGCTGCAAGGGCTGCCAACTCACTCCAAAACCGCCAGTACCTTTGAGCTGCCCTTCCCGAACCAGTCCGCAGCCGTTGCCAGAGGATGTGGGAGGCCAACCCGAAGAAACAGAGCTGCCGTTGTCATTTGACCCAAAAAAAAAAAGGAAGTCGAGGAGCAGCCCGAATATGGTGGCGCTGCAATGTGCTATGGGCCTCACTCCACTACTCACCAAATCCGCAAAATGAGGATGAATTTTAAGCTGGAAAATGGAAAGATACACCGCCACACTCTTGCTTTTTGTGAATGTCCTGAGCGGACTCACGACATGCACAAAATGCAAGAATATGGCGGTGTATCTTTCCATATTCCAGCATAAGATTCATTTTCATTTTGCAAATTTGGTGAATAGTAGAGCGAGTGCAAATCTGGTGAATAGTGGAGCGAGGCCCATAGTACATTGTAGTGCCCCCGTATTCGCGCATCTGACAGTGTCCCGCTGTCACTGCCGGCCTGTCGCCGAACATGGAATTTTTTTTCTTGCCAGATTTGATTCCCTAAAAGGGAGGGAGCGACGGAGGAAAGACTTTGAATGCTTTCAAAGGAACACACACACACACACACACACACACACACACACACACACACACACACACACACACACACACACACACAGAGAGAGAGNACACACACACACACACACACACACACACACACAGAGAGAGAGAGAGAGAGAGAGAGAGAGAGAGAGAGAGAGAGAGAGAGAGAGAGAGAGAGAGAGAGAGAGATCCCCTTTCCCCTGTGTCCTTGGGGATAAGCATGCGTACCTCACATGATACGAAGAGCCTGACTTTATCAGTGCCTATGCGATATTTGTCAGGGTCCTGTCCACTTTGGCTGATGCGACGAATCCTACTCCATGAATTTCCTGATTCTACCGCTGGTTTCCCACTGACTGTGAGCAACTCTAGACGTCGGCGCTGACCAGGTGCCAGGTCAGATGGAGTGGATGATTGCAATTGATGACTACTGTCAGCCACTGAGACCTCCGCAATGGCTGAGCTGCAAGGGGAATTGTGAAAACACGCAAAGGACAACATACGAACGATGAGCTGCATTTGTACCTCTGCTCACCATGGCATAGTTTATATAAGATAATAAGACCACATTGTTGTGACTCGTGATGACAATGACAATGTGAATCGCACAGTGAATGATAGTTTGATTTTTTTTTATTTTTTTTTTTTAACTAGGCTCCTTCTATTCTGGGGAGTAGCAGTCCGGTTCCTTTTTCCACTGGCAAGTCAGAATGGATAGAATTCAACAGCACGCTTCCCACGTTACGGCCCGGGGAACCCTGACAGCCTTGATTGATTCCCAGCGGGGAAGGATCGACTGTCAGTAGAGCCCATGCACTTGTCCATCCCCGTCCCCTAGCAAGTGTACCCTTTTCAAAAACAAACGTGAAAACCAGTCTGCTGTCTTATCGCCCTGCAATCCTCGAACCCCTAAAACGAATCCTTTCCAAGAAACATACTTGAAAATCCGCGCGTTGTCTTGTCATCCTCAAATTCCTGAACCCCTAAACCCTCCCGCCCCCCCATTGTTTCACTGATTCTGATCTTGAGATTTATTTGACAGTTCGCTACCAGCACACACTCTGAGAAAACGCTGTTCTTTGGGTCTGTTTTCTGAGAATTCCGAGTCTGAGTCTGTTTTGCTGTTATTTGCTCAGTTCTTAAGTGTGTGCTGAGTCCGAGTCCGTGTCCGTGTGCTAAGTCTGTTGGCCGTGTGTGTGTAGCTGTGACTCAGACAGGGACAAGATAGGAATAGAGTGACGGAGGTCAATCAGAAAAGGTTCACCATCGCCGAAGGTTAGTGCAGCGGTGCGCTAATTCTCGGCCCCCGCACCCGAATTGGCGCCACGCGAGTTCGAAAAATTGGAGTTCCCACCGCAACGAAGCAACCCCGACCCACCATAGCCCAGGTGGCCAAGCAAGGAGCACCACGTGCGTGCATGTAGCGCGCGCACTCATAACCTTCGAGGTACCGTCCACTGCGACTCGAAGTAAGGACCAAGGCATCCAAGCTTTCCAGGAATAGAAGGTGTGACCATCCGGAATCCGTCCAAGAGAAATCAAAGAAGGAGGATGGCCTTCAAAGCGATACAGGAATAGCAAAAGGGTGAATGATTGTTATGTGGAAGCTCTAACGCTTGTACCTGGCCGATGGCCGGCCCTTGGGCGGGACTCAGGGGGCGATGGTAGCTCGGAGTAGAAGCGTTCATAAGGGGAGCGCAGTCATCGGAGGACGACAAAGTAACAAGAGCCTGCATACGACGAAGATTGCGGACCAATGGACCAATGTGACGGTACCCAGACGACTTTTCACCACCACACCATACCACACTAACAAACCTACTAACAAATCCTACCATGCCTGCCATCGTAGATACCCACCTTCCCCCCCTTAATGAGTGTTTCCCCCCTACCCACCTCCTCCCACGACACATCATTACCACAAGAACGCTCCATTCAATTTGACAACAACCTATCAAACCCCCTCCCATCCACATTACACAGGCCAAAATCCCGATCTTTGTTCCTTGACCCGCACCCATTATACGAATCGCCTAACAGCTTGTCATTTCCATTTCCAACACCCGACCAAACCCCCACTACCTGCCCGCAACTGCAAACTCCCCCCCCATAAGCATAATCCAATCCCAACCTTTCCTCCCCTCCGACCTTCCCATCCACCGCTGCGACATACACCAGCCCTCACCACAGGCCCCCCCCGCTGACCAAACTCCTCCCCAAGCGACCCAGCCCCCCCATTTTGTGTGTCCGAAATCGGATTCAACGCGCGTTCCGCGTTAAAAAATTGAATGAGCGTTGAATTCGCGTTAAACTCCCGTTCAAACGCGTGTTGGACGCGAATGAACGGGGTCGACGAACCCGACTTTCGGGCGGTTGAG